TTGATAAACATAATATTGCCGTACTGGTACACAATGACATGAATCACGCTGGTATCACCACATAAATAAACTGACGAACCGATAAATAAGCCTTGAACCCAACATTATCGACGCTCCCGTAAATCACTTAAAGATATTTTAATTAAACATCCTCTATATATCAAGATGGCGGCGGGGCGGGGTACGAAATTAATTTAATTTTAACTTGATAATATATCACGTAGACGTCCGTGCTAATAATGGAATTATGTTTGTACTTCCAGAATCCATTTGCATTCTTATTAGATTCGTTACGGGATCGATCCTGCTAATGAAAACGTTTCGCCTTGCATATTGCGCGCGTGAAAGCCGAGAATGCGCGGGAACAGGAATGTCACTTTGACTTTTTTCTTTTTCAGCGTTTCCGCGTGCAAGAATAACGTTGAAAGTGCTTCTTCTTCTTTTTTTCATTTAATATTTCCCAAAAAGTTTAATACGATGTTTATTAGATAATACTAAATTCAAAACGATAATAATAAAACAGTATTTACTCTGGAAACTAACATTCTACGTCGAATTTAGATAGGCAACATGAATATTTCACGTTTCTAGCGGAAGTATAATTGAAGCAATGTCGGAATAACCGCAATGCTCCCGCCATTACTCCGACATGCATATATGGGGTTGCTAGGCCTCATCTAACGGGCTAATGCGTTTTCGCAGGCTTGATGGCCAGTCCGCAACGCTAGATATTTCATTCAACCGCTCAGACTATTCAGGCTCCCTAGATTGCTATTCTAACCCCCCTTCCCCCCACTAGGGGGAAACAGGGGGTCTTCGGGCCCCCACCCTGTCTGTACGCCGCTTAATTTCCGTATCGTATGGTCATTAATTTGCAAAATGATATTTACGTCGATAGTTAAAAGTTTAAAGTTAGTACTGATTATTTTGAGTGCGCGGATAAGGCTATTAGTACTTAATAAATGTAATTTTGTTTAATTAACATTAGCAGGAGCTTGTATTTGTCGACGCGTAAATTACTTCATTTATTTTATTTCGCTGCGCATTGAAACTGTACTAATTAAAAAAATCGGTCGAGATGAATCTATATCACTGCGCTCTATTAATCACAAGTGAAAATCCTTAAAACCGTAGTGTTAGATTAAATAAATAAAATCTACTCCAATTGAAGAAAAAAGCATTTCCTTGTTAAGTCCGTTTCCATTTGCCGATTAAGAAAGACGGAGAAGATAGACGTGGTTTCATTCAGACACATTAGAGCATACATTTTTATTGCAAAATCATTCCTATTACCTACTTACTAAGTACTATATTTAAGGTAGGCCACTTTATCTGCCCGTGAATTGAAATCACGATAAAACTGTAATGATTTTGTTCAAATTAATAAAGATTATGTTCCTTAGTACTTAGTTTTAGACACTTCTGTCTTCTTCAGCCCATTAAGACCACTGCACCGCCAAAAACAGCTGCAACAAAAAGGCGGGAAGTTGTTTATCTGTCAAAGTTTGGCGCCCTTTTTGCGCCCTCTGGCGGGATTATGCCGCGGCGCCGCCAACTTTTAATTACGACCATTGTGAGCGAAACTTTAACCCGACGACAAAGAACTTTTTCTAATGAAACTTGGACGAGCGCGGTTATATCCACCGACTTGTTTTTCTATTATGTTGCTGGGTCTATGCTATGAAGATTTACAATGGCCGCATCTTTATCTGATATTAGAGTATTTCTCAAAAAAAATGTACGTAACGAAACGGTAGTAACGAAATAGTAAGGCCATAAGGCTTGTTATACATTGGCGAAATATTGTGAATGCTCTTTATTTATTCAATTCGAAATATTTGTAAGTATGCACCCAAATACGGGGTAATATTAAGGGGTTAGAAATAAAATAAGGGAGTAATCATTCATACTATTTTAATAAAATTATTTTTGTTCCATCATGTTTATCCATTTTGAGTCGTTCTCTGTAAGCTTTTTGCCTTTCGGCATTATGGCGGAGACGTCAGGCCAACAGCCATTCAGAGTGCAGCTATTGTTGTCCGTGTAAAATAAATACGGAATTGTTCAGAAACCATGGGAAAGTAGAAATAAATCGTAACTAAAGAGTAAATAACGAAATAGTAAATGAGAGCGACTCATTTTGTTTTTTTGCTTTAAATTGCCAATTCATTATGACACCCCATAGAAAATCAATTTGATACAGAAACTGCGATTACTGTAGAACGATAATACAAAGAAATTTACAATAATTTAGTTACGTATCGCATTTTATGAAACAAAAATACATGAAAAAGCTAGGGTGGCAAACAGGTTTTTGTATGAAAGGTAAAAAAGGACTATTTTTAAAATATCTAAATATTTGGTAATAAGTAGGATTATAGCTATAATTCTTCGTTATCTTAAAGATTAATATTCATCCTTCAAAATTGTGTGTGTGTTTTTTTTGTGTGATGATTTATAAATATAAAACTTTTGAACTGTTTCAAAGCACACTTTTTTTTTCAAAATGTACATTTTTTTTGAGAAATACTCATTTAAGTACCTACCTATACACTTACCTACATGCAGTCTTAGTTTGAAGGTTTGGTACAGTAATTGTTCCGTGCATAAAAAATACTTGAATGAGAAAACAAATGTTTTAATAGAAAAGTTGTTCGATTTTTATTTTTATTTTTATTTTTAACACCATAAAAAAATCACGACGCGACGTAGGCACTAACATATTTTGCGTTCTTGCCTAGATAGGATGTGCACCACGATAAAATCTTATCGACGATATTAGACGATGTCACAATAAAGTTATATCATGTTGTCGCACATCCTTATTAGCCCTATCGGTTAAGTTTAAAAAAGAGTCAGTTATCTTTAACAACAAACTAAGGGATTTTTCAATCGTCGGATAACTTATAACTGAACTGGACTAAATAAATTTGAACTGAAACTGAACTAAATGATAATTTCAGCCCTTAGACGTTAAGTTACAAATGAAACTTGAATTTTAAAAGTAACAGCAGCTTAATCAAACAATTAAGCTCGCATTCCTTCTCGTAAACATGGCGTAATTTTCTCCTGCATATTTCCGAAGCAATCGCGGCTGATCACTGTTTGCACAGAAAACTGAGGCACCGCCTTGCATAAATTGCAGAGCTTCACATAATTAAAAACCAACATTTACATTCAATTCGATGGCGGTCCTCTATTATCACTTATTTTCTCTTTATAAACAACTCCAAGTAAACGCTCGAGTTACACGTTATACGATTTAATTAACTTTGTTAACGTTTATAGCGTTGTTAAATAAACACTTGCGATATTTATTGAAGAAATTAAACTCAATTTTGAATTTATTATAGTAATTTTATTATCTTCTGCTGAAGAATTTGTATATAAATTTTGAATAAGGAGACTCATAGACAGTTTTGAATGTGTGATGTCAGACGCCTATGACACCTAATAAGGTCTGACATCCCTTGTAATATTAAACATGTATAACATCAATTTTTTAACCAATACTATAGAAAATAATTACTTTAACCGTAACTATACGACAAACGATGTCTTCTTATGGAATTTTAACGTTTGTCATAGTTAAAAAGATGGTGCAACCCAGCCTCCTCAAGGAGTTAATAAGGTGCCAAATATTTAGGTTGGGTTGCACCATCTTACTTAACTTTAACAAACGTCAAAAATCTGTCAAACTCCACACAAAAAACACCGGTTATCGTTAAAGTTACTGTTAAACTTAAATGGTACAACTCAGCCTTGTTATTTTCCCACAATAATTTACAACTTCAAAAGCAGTAGAGCGAAAAATTCGGAAAATACCGACAACCTGTAAAGTACACTGCGAGTACGGCGACAAAACACATTGTTATAGACAATGGCGATCGCCGCACTTAATGCCCGCAATCTTGGTAATTCATGCGATACACCGTGATTCAACGAGCTTTCTTTTGTAATGCGATTTATTTACTGGCTGGTTAGATCACAGACTACGAGTAGATTTTTTTCTTTTGTAATGCGTTTATACAGGCTATGATACTGGCTGGTATGAAACGTCAAAGTGACATACAACGTTACATCATCGTCATAATGCACAAAAAGAAAAAAAATAAGTGCTGAAACATACAAGTACCTACTAATAAAAATTGCCAAACATTTTCGATAGATCTTTAGCAGCAAAAAATAAACTCTGTCATAAGCTTAGTAGAGGATGTACTCTACAAAACAAAAAATAAATATTTGAAGACGTTCGATTGGTATCTTTCCTTATTTTAAAATTTCATGTAAATATTCCCAATTTATTCCTTTCTTATAACGTGGGCGCAGGCGAGCCCTTGAGCGTTTCGTAATACATATTAAAGCCGAATAGAGAACGGCCTGCATTATGCAGCCCATTGTTTGTTGGGCCTATGCAATTCTAGTAGCTAAGATTCGACACCTGGCTTAATATCATATTCCTTTGCTACCTGAACAGTGTTTTACGAAACAATATTGTAAAAAGTTCCAACAGTGTGCATGCATTTTTTTTAAATAAAACCTCATACTGGCCACCTACTTAGTAATTCTAATACTGGTCACGCAGAAAAAAAAAACAAAATAGTGCTGTGCGTATCAAAATTAACAAAAACTACCGATGTCATTACCAACATCATGTCTTAAAGCAATCCAACAAATATCATTACTTCCGAGCAATAAAGTAGAAAAGTTCTAACTTAACAAATCTATTTGAAGCAAAAGAAACTAACAAAGCTATAAAAGCGAAATAATAGTTATGGAAATAGTCTTTCATTTTCCACGAAAGAAAACTCCGCGAAACTACCGACAATATGAATGAAACTATAATATTAGAAAAGTTTCGTCCCGGGAAATGAGAAAACGTTGTAGGAACTCGTTCGTCTAATACACGTAGTTATAAACTTGTTCAATATAATATCGAGTGGTGTTTTGTCTCGCTCGCACTCGCTCGCTCCTGGAACTGCCCTCCTTTAATTGCATATTCAGTCGAATAGAGCCATTCCTGCGCCAAAGATGTAACGCAATTAGGATTGCATTTCCTATCTTCATAACTGATTGGGAGAAGCCATTAAACTAATTTTAAGGGACAGAAACTAGACTTAACAATGAATGATAACATGAAAATCAGCGACATTTACAGTGGAAAATTTTAAATTTTCCAAGTAAAATTAATGCTTCACGCTGCGTAACTAACGAATTACTTATATAAAAGCTTGGAGATGGGTACATTGTATAATTATATATTTAAGGAATACAATATGTATAACGAAATACGTGTATAAAAATATCCAAGTTTAATATCAGGAGGAAAAACTTGTACCTATTGTAATTAGTGATTAAAAAAGACGTCAGTGGTTATTTTTGTAAAAGACACCGTAAGGCCAGGAGTAATAACACCATAACCTTGAAGTAAAAGAAACGGCTCTGGTACAATGCCGCCATCTTGACGTATGAGTGTAAAATACCTAATATTATAACGTTAACAGTTTAAATCGCATTTTCTGCCTGTACCTACTTTCGAAACATTTTTAACGAAATGATGTAGTGTAGTGCGTTCATAAATTAGAACTAAGTAGGTATATATTTGTTGTAGGTACATGTTTTCAATAATTAGAAGACTTATGTTTACAGTCACGAATTTACTTGTACTTACAGTGTAATAAAACGTTGAAATGCCCTAAAAATATGCTAAAACAGGTCGTTGGAACGCCCGTAGCGGGATGGGGTGGGGATGAGTTTGTACATTACTGCTATGTGCAAACGCTTAGTACATGAAACAAGCGATTGTTATGATAATTTCGACTGCAATAGACGGCAGAGCGATGAAATATTGGCCTCTTTTGCATAAGCACCGAGGCAGCGCTGGTTCGTACGGAACTCGGCCGACCTAATTGCTCATTAACGGAAACACTAATGAAAACGAATTTGTCACGTCAATTAGCAGTTCGGAAACTATTATGCAAATGAAGGTAAATAGAAGGGATTTATTTTTCGTGTTTCAACTTAGCGTGACTTTAATGGGGACCTTTTAAAAGTACTTAGTTTTGTTCAAAGGACGTTACAAGCATGTTAATGTTTAAGTTGTTTTTAGTTCCATAGTTACTATTATGATTCCTTTTAGGTATTAAAANGGAGTCTTTAATGGATGATATTGTTTGTTTACACATACAATCTCACTATTTTGTTGCAATTTCTTACAAAACTTTGCGCGCAAAAAGCAAATCTAGTATGAAAATCATCAAACTTCTAATGCTCGTAACTCAGTTCAGACTGAGTTTAGAGGTATACATGTCATAGTATGTTTGGTTTATTACACTATTTTGTAATCAAAATACAAAGTTTGGTCGATGGCCGCGCGAAAAAAAAATCGCCAATTTCCGGCATTGTCTTTTTCGCCCGTATTCACAAACATTACTCAGGTCTCGGAGTGCGCGTGGACGCACAGGATGGCACACGAACCAATCATAGAGCTCTATTTAACGCTGTGCCGATTTGCTACTTCGCTTAGCAAGTATCGTTTGTGAATACGGGCGTTTGTGTACGAAAGGGGTGACATGTGACGTAATAAAGTTGTTACGTCAGAAGTACATTTGATTTCTCGGACTCTCTGATGTTACGGACAAAACACAGGCAGCAAACTACGTATAGAAGCGGCACGGGAGGGTGACATTGACATATTATGACAAATCTGAAGTTTTGCTGACGTTTGACGTTACAAATACACCCTATTCCAAAATTTAATCTCTGGGCGATTTATACGTAGCCACTAAACTTTTAACCTCATGCAGATGTCATAAGGTTGATAATGACTGACAAATTGCAATCTGTGGCGTATTATTTAGTTTATCAGATGTGATTGTGCAAACAAAAAATGCAATAGCTTGATTTGGTAATCATAAAATGTACTTACCTATAAGACAGCTCGCGTCCACGACCCGACTCTTTATAATCATGTTGCTCAACAGTTTCTGGCACTTGCTCGCCATGTCGATATACTTCAAGGAAAACCCGTACTGTTCATTCGAGTAGCTATACTCAGCCAATGTTGCATACGCGAGACATATCTTTTCATACAACAGCGTCTTCAAATGCAGTTTCCACGCGAAATTGTCATCTCTACTTGGCTCGTGCCAAGTTGGGAATATTTTCTTTTTATTCCTGATGAGTATAGCGTTCTTGTCGATATTCGAATTCGATTCGATCAAACAATTGCCGGTTTTGTCCGAAGTCTTTCGCTCGCGTCGTCGTCGCCGGCTGCGGGACGTGTGCTCTTTGGATTCGGACTTCTTCGTTATTGGCTCGTAGTCCATTTTGATGGGTTCGTACGGGTTCGCCATTTTTGGATGCTGTTCTTCGATTATGATTTGTTGCCTGAGGCGTTCGCGCTCTTCTTCCTGTTTTAAAAAACATTTTGTGATCAATAAATTAAAATTTATGGTATCACCTCCACAAACAACTTATCTAGTCAAAGCCTCTATTTGCCTTTGGAGAGATCATTATTACCACATTGGATTCTGCGTTCTGCAGTCAGGTCAAAGTGAACGCAGCCCGCAACATGTATGAACAACATTGTGCCTCATACTAAGCGGTTGCCTGATCCAGCCCGTTGACCTGACCGCAAATCGCAGAAGGCATTCAGTGTAACCAATTCACCAATTCTTTAGCCATAACTAAAAAGTTTTGTTTCTTTGCATTGCTTTTTACAATGTTTTTGTTGATCCTTTGCTATGGAAAGGGTGAATCAAAAAATGCGCAATACAATATTAATAACAATCTTAACTATCAGCTTACCTTGCACTTGTCTATGGTGACGTTGTAGACCGCTACTAGGCCTTTGAGAACGTGCTTTAAGACTCCGTCACAGCGATCTGGTGGCGCAGTACCGAGTTTTGTTTCCAATCACAATAACTATTAAAACACAGTAATGGCGTGGCAACGACTGTCTTTTATTCAAAATAGCTTATTATATGAACAACCAGGTGGCGCTGGTGGTAATAGACAATACTTATTTTGTTACAGATTAAATAACTAAAATAACATCCTCCCATAACAAAATAATCATAAAATAGTTTTAAAAGTTAAACTTCTGAGATGCCCATTAACTTAAGAAATTTATAATGCTTCTTGATACAAAGACTTTTTGTTAGTAAATCTGCTGGCATATCAGATGTTGGTACATATTGAACTTTTACCTTATTGTTTGATACACATTCTCTTACAAAATGATGGCGGACATCAATATGTTTGGTACGCTTGTGATATAATGGATTTGCAGCTAATTTCAAAGAACTTTGGTTATCACTATACAAACAAACAGGAATGCTGCTATCAAGTACACCCATCTCATTCATCAAATGTTTTAAATAAATAGCTTCTTTGCAAGCTTCGGACAGGGCCATATATTCTGCCTCTGTACTTGATAACGCTACAGTTTTTTGTTTTCTAGACTCATAACTGACAACACATCCTGACAAAATGAAATTATAGCCGGTATATGATCTCCTATCCAAATTACATGATGCCCAGTCAGAATCAACATAACCATGCAAATTGTTATTATTATTTTTCTTATATACTAAGCCATAATGTTTTGTCTTTTGTAAGTATCTTAACAACCTTTTCAGATGTTTCCAGTGTGTTTCATTATAACATGTGTTAAACTGACTCAAGAAGCTAACACTGTAAGAGATATCTGGTCTAGTGAGTACAGACAAATACATTAAACTCCCTATTAATTTCTGATAAGGAAGTGACTCATTACACTGTTCATTTAAACATTTTTCTAACTTTAGGTTTGCCTCCATGGGAGTATCTGAAGTTTTACACTGACTCATGTTAAATCTAGCCAAAATGTTATTTATAAATTGAGTTTGGTCTAGGGTAATACAATCATTCATAACTTTTACATTCATACCGAGGCATTGTGATATTTCACCCAAATCTTTAATTTTAAATTCACATTCTAATACCTGTTTTAAATGTTTATAAGAATTTTCACAGTTATAAAACACAAAAAAGTCGTCCACAAATAAAGCTACATAGACTTTTATATTATCATGACATTTTGTGAACAAACATGGTTCATAACTTGACTTTGAATAGCCTAGTTTTAATAAACATTCTTCCACTTTAGTGTACCAGGCTCTAGCAGATTGCTTCAAGCCATATATTGCCTTTTTCAATTTAAAAACTTTATTTTCACAATCATCAAAGCCAGAATTTTCAGGTACTTCTATATAAACACATTCATTTAAATTACCATTTAAAAATGCTGTAGGGACATCTAAGTGATTCATCTTCAAATCTAGTTGTGCAGATAAAGCGAATAATAGTCTTAAAGTAGAATACCTTAATACTGGTGAAAATGTTTCATTGAAGTCAACTCCTTCAATTTGAGTGAACCCTTTAGCAACAAGTCGCGCCCTGTATCGCACTTCACCATCACTATTGTATTTCTTTTTGAATACCCACTTGTTTTTCACCACTGTACCTACACTTGGTCTGTCCACTAACTCCCATGTGTCATTGTCACTGAATGATTTCATCTCCTCCTTCATGGCGGTCTTCCATTGCTCTCTTTCAGAGCAAGTCATGGCTTCATTCAGTGTGAGTTGTTCACCTGTATCCTCTTCAATGCACATGTTGGAGAATCCATAATAATTTGGCTTCTTCCGGATCCTTTTTTCTGGTAGAATGGTCACATTATTCTGAGCAATTACTTCCACATCAGATGCATTCAAAGATTCATGAAAATCATCTTCTGAGCTTGAGGTTTCACTTTGAACATATGATTCATCATAATTATCTGTGGACTGCTCACTTTCATCATTTACTGCTGGTTCTGCCGGGGTATCAGTCACTGGCTTCTCTTGTATCACAACATCTACTGCATGATTGTCACTCTCGATGTTCTCCATTATTATTACATCTCTTGACACAGTTACCGCTCGGCTGACAGGATTGTACAAACGGTAACCCTTGACATTTTCAGAGTAGCCAACTAGATGCATCTTCTGAGCCTTCTTATCCCATTTTTTCCGTTGCTCTTTAGGAATGTGAACCATGACTGGGCTACCATACACTCTTACATGGCTTAGATCTGGTTTACTGCCCGTCCACATCTCATATGGAGTAACACCTCGTTCAAGAGCAGCAACTGGCGATCTGTTCTTGAGATAGACTGCTGTATTGACAGCTTCTGCCCACAGTGACTTGTCAAATTTTGCATCAAACAAGAGACATCTTGCCTTTTCAACTATCGATCTGTTGTATCGCTCGCACAGCCCGTTTTGCTCTGGTGTGTAAGAGTTACTTTTCTGGTGCACTATGCCATTCTTCTTCAAAAAATCCTCCATTTCCTTAGAGCAGAACTCTCCACCATTATCAGATCTCAAGACTTTGATTTTTGTGGACTGCTGGTTCTCTACAAGCTCTTTGAATTCTTTGAAGTACTTGTAAGTTTCATCCTTGGTCTTAAGGAAATAGACGAAACACATCCGGCTATAGTCATCCACGAACAGGAGAAAATATCTGGCCATACCGAGTGATTTATTCTCCATTGGCCCGCACAAATCTGTATGAACCAATTCCAGCACATTCTTGGTCTTGCTTGAACTGAGAGGGAAGGGCAGCCTTGCCTGTTTCCCCTCACAACACACAACGCAGGTTGATTTGCTGGCATCACTTTTGTCTTGGTATGTTACACCTTGAACTGCTCCATGTTTCATCTTCTCAAGATCATTAGCATTTATATGCCCGAGTCGTCTATGCCAAGTTGTACAAGAAGCCTGGACTGCAGCTGCCAAAACTTGCTCAGACTTCACAATGTGTAACTTGTATACATTATTCACCAAACTTGCTTCGCCGATACACTCATTTTGAGCATTGTAAATGTAACAACCACTTTTGTTGAAGTGTACCCTGTTACCCTTTTCAACAATTCTGCTCACTGACAACAAGTTCGTCGTTAAGTTAGGTACACACAACACATTGTTTACTTCTATTTCATGCTCTTTGTTCTTGACACACGTAGTTAGATGTGATGTTCCTGAGCATAGAACTTGTACACTTGTCTGGTTGGCCACTATAATTTCCTTAGTTTTCAGCTGGTACGAAATATCAGTTAGTAAACTTTTGTTTGACACCAAATGATTGCTAGCACCGGAATCTATGTACCAATCGTCAGTACTGAAATCTTGCGAAAGAAACACTGCACTAAAAGCATTTGTCATCTTTGTAGTTTCCACAGAAGGACATTGATTTTTAAAATGCCCAACCTTCTTACATTTATAGCAGCGAATAACTTTTCGTGGTGCCGGTGTTTTGCTGTTGTTGACATTGACATTACTGACAGATGGCTGCGTTCCATTATTGCTATATGATTTCCCGCGCTTTTGAGCAATGAACGCGCTTTCTGACTTTGTCTCAAAATCTGCACTCATATCTAGCAATTTGGTTTTGATCGCGTCGGCACTGATTTTCATGCCCGAGTGTTCAATTGCCATTATCATTGGGCTAAACTTTTCAGGAAGTCCGGCAAGCAACAGGGAACCGATCCATTCATCATTTATCTCAAAACCAGTACCTTTCAACTTCTGTGCGGTTTCTACAAGCTGGGACACGTAACTGGTCATGGAATCACAGGATTCTAAACGGATAGATATCAAACTCCTTAGTAGGCTGATCTTCCGCGTAAAGCCTGAATCATCGAAGAGAGATTTTAGCTTGTTCCATAAACCTCGTACCGTAGCTTCAGTTTTGATATGCGAATAGAGAGATGGATCTATTGTCATGATGATTTTTGCTCTGGCTCTTTTATCTTCCAATTCAGGCAGGATGGTATCATCGTTCAAACTGACGCCTTCCAGGATCATGTAATTTTCTACAGCAAACGCCCAATCATCGTAATTTTCACGTCCCTTTAATTTAGGTACGTTCACAGAATAACTTGCCGACATTTTAAACACTGATTTACTACTTATTTCACCGATAACTAATTTATTTCTGTGTCTGGGCCCATAACCTATTAAAACACAGTAATGGCGTGGCAACGACTGACTTTTATTCAAAATAGCTTATTATATGAACAACCAGGTGGCGCTGGTGGTAATAGACAATACTTATTTTGTTACAGATTAAATAACTAAAATAACAATAACAATATTAACCATAAACAATCATAACTATGCTCACCTTGCACTTGTCTATGGTGACATTGTGGAGCGCTAGTAGACCTTTTAGAGCGTGTTTTAAAGCTCCGCCGCAGCGGTCGGGCGGCGCCGTGCCCAGTCCACCAGACATGCTCGCTTTGCGTTTGTTTTCCTGCACCAAATTACATATTTTATTATTTGTAAAATATCAAGCTTCGCAAAACTACCTTTAACATTTAAATTAGAACTCCCTTCCGCAGTTAACAGCTCCAGTTATACTCATTGGCGTATCTATAGGGTTCTTTTTCAGGGGAGGCCTTCTCTTAACCGCCTCTGTGGTCTAGTGGTAAGACCATCTGCTTCAGACGCAGAGGTCCCGGGATCGATTCCCAGTGGGGGCAGATTTTTCTGTTCGGTTTGGTTGGTGGTAGGGCTTGTTCTAAGTCCGCCTGGCTAGCTACCACCATCTTACCTAAGTCTGTCGCCATAACAATGTTAACAGCTTTGTTGCGTTCCGGCAGTTAGAGGTAAGATAGCCAGTTCCTCCGTGGTTGAGGATTCCGGGTGAAGCTCGCTTCCACCTTCAGCCTGATATCATCACTTACCATCAGGTGAGATACAAGCCAAGAGCTTCCTCGTTGTGGATATAAAAAAAGGCCTGGCCCCTGAAATGCTATGTCACAGGGGGAGGGGGAGGGGATTAGTATCATAGCTCATGAGTTGAACTATGAACTATCATCTACAAATCAGTAGCCCAACATCCATCCTACGCCTCAGGACGTTTCTAAAGAAACTGAAAGCAAGCAGTGTAGGACCGTTCGTTATGAAAATCCTTAGGGAACGCCTTTGTCCCGCAGTGAACGTCATTCGTCTGAAACTGAACGAAATATAATTTCAATTAAAATCCGGTCGCCGAGCAGACATGACTGTGCGACGGGCAGCCGCAGTGAGTGTGCGAGCGCGACAGCAATATAATTACGCACAAGCGAAAAGAATGGGTAGCTTGGGGTCATTGGACGAAATTCTATCTGCTCGGCGTTCGGACTTCAATCGCAGATCATTGGTGAACCTAAGCCTCTCAACAAACACCACAAAGTACAAAGTTTTCATCCAGTACTACCAGCTACCATCTTGAAGTCGTCGGTCCATCGACCAATAAATACTATACTACGTTTACCAAGACAAGAAACAACTACAAACTCACCCCAGTACTTTCTCTCACTCGATTGCCAATATCCCTCAAAGCCAAGCCTCTGCTCTGAACAGCCAGTGTATTAGTGCTATCTCCCTCCTCTGCAGTGTCTTTCTCGTTCTCTTTATTGCCGTCCTTGTCACATTCGTCAGTTTTGGACTTGCCGTCTCTGTCAAACTCGTTGTCGTCATCGCACGGTTCCGCGTACTTTGCGAATTCTGGGTCTTCACTGTCGGGATCTATGGATTCTTCTGCAAAAGTGTATTTAGGTTTTGTGTGTAAATATTTTTCTATTTTTGAAATTGATTTTACACTTTTGGTTAATATTAAGTTTATAGTAAGGTTTTTGGTAAGTCACTTTCAATAAATTAATAGTTAAAATTGTTTGGCCCTAAGGTTGACTGGCAGAAAATGCCCAAAGGCATTAAGTCCGCCTTATGTACACCGTTCTATGTGCATATAAGTTTTAAATAAATAAAATAAATAAAACCACCTTTTTTTAAGTCTTAGTAAAATAGATTTTTTATGTTGTCTGTGTAGCTACAACCGTATGTTTTATAATTTGTTCAGCCATCCAAAAACAGTGAAATAAGAGTAACTTACCTTTAAAGTCCGGGCAGGCGGGGTTAGTATTTGCTGGTACATACAAGTCGGCCAGCATGTAGTGTGAAGACGCCACTATTTGCGGATATCTGCCACAAAATTATTCATTGTCATTCAATATTCAATTTTGAACAGAATTTAGTACTTATGAATGTCAAAAGGTAGCCCTTAAGGGGCTCCTAAGCATTATTTATTTATTTATTTTATTTATTTATTCATGAATAGAACGGTAGTACCAATTACACTATTCAAACAAGACGTAACAAAGTTCAGAATAACATTTAAGTACTTATAAACAATTTAACTTAATTTAGGAAAAGTATAGAATTTTTTCACAGTAACCCAAACATTCTGCTAGTAACGTACTCCACCCCTCTGCAAATACGTCACATTTTGGGTTTTGGTCCAGCAAACGATTGAGAGCACTTAATGTACGCATGTCTATGTTACTAGAATTTTGTTTTTTTACTTACTTTTCCGCCTTGAGGAGTTCTATAGCGTGTTCTAATAGCTGTCGCACGTGTTCTGACCTGTTAGCCAGCCGCATGTTCCTACAACATCATATGAAAGTGTAATGTATGTGGGTATCTCATTATATTTTATTATTGTAAGATACTGAGGGTAATCTGTGGCAAGACGATATCGGTCTGTCAGAAATATACGTTGTCATTTACTGGACGTTCTCGGTGTTTGATTGCTCCCGAATATTACATTGGCGTACGAGGCTGTGGATTTTATTTTGTGCGTGTGAAACGTAAAATAACTATTTTTGTGGTAAAACAAATAAATAGACATAAATAAAGTGACAATGTCGGTGGGAAAAGTGAACGAGTTTGATGTCGTAAACGGCGTGTGGTCGTCTTACGTGGACCGACTANTTAGGTACTTGTTTACTGGCTCTATCTGTTAGTTTGTAACATTTTCTCGCTTTGACAGCTAAATCAGACATAAACTAGACGTAGACAAACCTTGGCTACATTACATTTTGTCAAAAACAACTAGAAATGGGATGAAACTTTGTAAGGGAATGGGATTGAATTTTGATAAAAATATTTTAGATATAGATGAATAGAGATAATTTATAAAGGCCACTCAAGGTATTACAAAGTTTCAGGCGTCGACATAATCTTAAAATGATTTAGTAAAAAAAAAACCTTTATTCTTGCCAAAAAAATTAGTTTTTTATAACTGTCGTGAAACGCAAACAGTATTCTATAAAGCTTTTGTGTTTGACACAACTGAAACATGAAAACTCTTGTCGCGAAAACGCTCTGAATAACACTACGCGTTGACGTTACATAAGGAGAGACGTAACGCTGCAGTCCGTCCGCTATGTACTTTGTATACAACTGAGTCCAGTATTATATCGGGATGCAATTGGGCTTACAATGTCTGCAGATTGAAGATATTGAAGATTTTACCCCACGTAAGAGTAACGAAATCAGTATCCAGGAACTTTGTTTCATTTAAGTAAAGCTTAAAAGCTGCTCTACCATTACTTTTTGAGACACACAAGTAATCGCATAGGCAATGGTTGAAGAAAAACTTAAGGCTTCCTAGTCTTACATAATGTACTTATTTCTCATTCAGATCACTCTTTAATTTCATAAAGATTGATAAGTATTTAATTTTATTTTAATAATCCAACCCAGAGCTCCAAAAAGTATTATTGCACCTCCCTCGAGTCTCTATCTGTTAACGTTTCAATAAAAACGACACAACAACGCCAAACTCCAAAAGTATTTTAATTTCGCTCATATTAAAAATGAGATCCTTGAAAAAACTTGTTAAACAGCCTATTAAAAAGCTCGAGTTCTTCTCGTATAATACACATACGTGAAATTTGTAATTTGTTTATCAAACGTCTGTCGGCGCGGGGGGCGCGGGCGGGGCGCGGCCACGCTCGCTCCGGCACACTCGCGCCAGTCACGTGCGGATACGCCGGCTCTCAACGTGCTCGTCAACGTATCGATTCTCGCTGCAACTATCGACCAATCCGCCGATGCACATCACTATCGCGTTTCCCGCGCAATTTTAAAAATTCGAAACTTTCTAATTTCGAACGCGTGTGTTGTGTTTTTATTTTCTCGTTTATTATTTTTTGGTGGCCTTGGATTTCTTCGCGCGAAGGTCTTAAGCAGGTTAGTTTTTCAATACTTTTTTTAATGTATGATGGGAAAATGGAACCGGTTGTATTATGCTAAATCGCTTTAGTGTAAAGGTCAATACTCCCGGCGGCACGCGAGCCGCGATAGATGTAGAGCGTGCTGGAGTCGATCACATGATTGACTTGGAGACGACGGGACACAACACTATTTATTTTCAAAGACTATCTGTGGTCGTAAACCCATAATTAATAAAAAACAGATAAAATTCATAAACCATAAAATTGTAAACGTAATGTTTCATTTTCCTTGAACTATTTCCAGACATAGAGCACATTGTTTTAATTAGGCAAAGAATGTGTATACATACGTCCGCTTAAAAAATTCATTGTCGAACACATAATTAAGAGGTCAAAGACGTGTAATGAATAAAATGTGCTTAATTAATGTAAATGACTCAATAATTGAGTGTAATTCATGGGACTCTACGTTTTATACCCGCAAGTAAAAATACATTTTTCTACTAAACTTTTTTTTAATAGTCTTTTTTTAAATTAAATTAATTTTAATTGCTAGCAGCGATTTTAATTGATGATTACCTTTTTTGAATATTTTCCATCGTATTAGAAGCATTTCAGAATTTAATTGAATTAAGGCATTTGCTTGGCTCCGACATCGAACCCGGAAAGTCGTAGCGCCATCAAAACTAATCCTATTAGAGAATGAGAGCAACGCTATTGTGTGTTACTTCTCAAATAGAAACTCCTAAGACTTTGAAGAAAAAATTTAAAAAGGACTTTTGTAAAAATAGATTTAAAGAGTAGCTAACACAAAAAAAGAAGAGTTTATTTGAAGGGCTGATATTTCAATCAAAGTTATCGTTCTTTAGCGTAAATGAGTTTGTGATGCTGACAGTTTTTTTTATACATATTTTAAAATGTCATTATTTAAAATATGAAAATCTTTTGAATTATCAAATTAAAATGATATTAAATAACAGCCTTCATGTCCCGTGAGTCGAATATAGAGGGATATGAGTCGTATCTATTGTATCCACTTAACTTAAAGATAGTAGAGCTATTTTAGTAGGAATTACATTTTTTTAACCAGAAAGCCTTGCATCTCATCGAAAATCCCTTCAATTTCTGGTTCCTTCATCCTCATACCATGTTTGAAGCAAATAAAGATGTTCTTATTCAATTCAGTAAAATATAATCAGATAAATTAAATTATTAACGTCAGCGACTTTAATTCAAGCTGAAGCATAACTCACTCTTATTTCCCATATACGGGAGATTAACCTTAAAGTTAAACCACTACTGACGTCGACCGGTACGCTAACGGGCCGATAAAAATTAACTCATAGCTAGTCCTATCAGGGTCATTCCATAAAAATCTGTATAATATTTTCGACGTCATTTTGTCCGTAACTTTTTTAAGATGCTTTTGAATACTTTATTAGTGTAAATTATAGTTTATTAATTAATTATGTTATGTCTAAAAGGGCCAGTCANCTATATGAACAACCAGGTGGCGCTGGTGGTAATAGACAATACTTATTTTGTTACAGATTAAATAACTAAAATAACATTTCTTGCAATAACCTGTTAAAAATTTTCCGGTGATAAAAAAATAGTGGTGTATAATAATACTCTATAATGAACAAAATCTTGTTGAGACCGTGATACTTGTCATTGTTATGAATAAGTGATGCAATACGATTATAATACAAAAATATTGCTTTATTATGTATTTAGTTCATTGACATTTACTCTCTTAACCATTTAACATGGACATTGATCCATGCTCTAACTAAACATCTACACGGTAAAATAAATCTCGGAGGCGAAAACAGGATAATTATATGATCAAACGAACTTTAGGCTAGTTGCCTAAAAAAATTTTTTTTGTCCGTAATGTTTAATATCAAAAAATATTGGACACGTATAATTTTATTTGTCAATCTAACAAATAATTACATAGTTATGGTGCGTTGAAGTTGCGCACGACGTCACAACGTGCGGCATTTTTAAGCAAGCATTGACGTCACGGGCCTCTTCTTATGAACTTTGGGGCGCTTTATCTCTTTAAATTTTCATTAGTTTGAAAAAGTGCAAAATACGAGTAGAGTATTTTTTGATAAGTTAACTGACGGACTAATTAAAACTCTTGCTTTTTGACCCAGGCAACATCCCCATTATCCTGTTTTCGCCGAAGAGATTTAAGGTCCCTCCCAACCCGAAGATTTCTATATCTCCCTGGAGGTAAACGTCAATGTCATCTCTTCTCTAAATATAATGAGACCGCTCGGACACCGAGCCCACAGCGTGGTAGGGGTGAGGTTGGTTGCCCGCTCTTTTGTTTTTTANATATTACATTGGCGTACGAGGCTGTGGATTTTATTTTGTGCGTGTGAAACGTAAAATAACTATTTTTGTGGTAACACAAATAAATAGACATAAATAAAGTGACAATGTCGGTGGGAAAAGTGAACGAGTTTGATGTCGTAAACGGCGTGTGGTCGTCTTACGTGGACCGACTAGAAATGTATTTTTTAGTCAATAAAATTGCGGATGGACTGAAATTACCAACATTAATATCGGTAATGGGCAGTGAAGCATATGAATTATTGGTAAACCTCGCTAGTCCAAAGAAGCCGTCGGAGTTAACATATGCTACGGCGGTCGAAATGATGAAAAGTCATTTGGAAACTACCCCGTCTGCCCTCGCCGAACGATATCGATTCCGACAACGCAGGCAAGTCAGCGGAGAAAGCCTAGCCAATTACGTCGCGGAACTGAAGAAGTTGGCTCGAAACTGTAAGTTCGAATCCAACCTCAACGAAAACCTTCGCGACCAATTCGTATGCGGGATAAGAAGTGACGTCATCCGACAGAGGCTATTCGCCGAGGACGATTCCCTAACCTACGCGGAGGCGGTCAAGCTGGCGTCATCACTGGAGGCGGCGGAGCGCGATGCGGCCGCGGTGGAGGGACGCGGGAGCGCCACGACGGCGGGCGCGGAGGAGGCGTCAGTGCACGCGGTGCAAGCACGGGGCTACGGCGGCGGAGGCGGCGGAGGCGCTGGGAGGCGCGGGCCGCGGGCCGCACGTGGCGGCGCATGGCGAGGAGCGAGCAGCAGGGCGCGGCCGGGCAGCGCGGGCGCGGGTGCCGCCGGGGCGCGCGGCCCGGACCAGGGCGAGCCGCATTGCAAAGCTTGCGGTGCCACCAACCATGCATCCAAGGAGTGTCGGTTCCGGGACTATGAATGTAGTCGGTGTGGACGTATCGGGCACCTTCGTCGTGTGTGCTCGAGCTATGCGGACAGCGACTATAGGAAGAGCGGATTCAACAAACAAGCGAGCTCAGGCCGGAACCTCCACTACGGCGAAGTTGTAGAGGAGAATGACTACGGTGAAGAAACACAGCAAGAAGATCTCCATCATTTGTGCCTGAACGACTACAGGGCGGTGAGTTTACCGATTCAAATAGAGGACCGCATTGTCTCAATGGAAGTAGATACAGGCACAGCCGTATCGTGTATTAGCAAACAAACTTACGATAATTACTTTAAACATTTGAAAATTGAGAAAAGTAATATTATATTAAATTTTTATGATGGATCTAAAATTAAACCTTTAGGTACTATAAGCCCTGATGTATCTTATGGTGGCCGTACCAAAAAGTTGGAATTATTTATAATAAAGGGAGGCACGACCGCCTTATTAGGTAGGCAGTGGCTAGCGGAGCTAAATATTAAAATTCCATTGTTTACTAGTTGTCATAAAGTAGGCATTGAATGTGTTCAAATGTCAAATGAAGTTAATGTGTTGGTTAACAGATATAAAGAACTATTCAGCGGAGGTTTGGGTCGTTACACGGGCGGCAAGGCTCGGCTGCGCCTGCGCGAGGGCGCGGCGCCGGTGTTCCACCGCGCGCGGCCGGTGCCGTTCGCGCTGCGCGAGCGCCTCGACGCCGAGCTGGACGCCATGCTGCGCGACGGCGTCATCGAGCCCGTCGACTGCTCCGACTGGGCCTCTCCGCTCGTACCGGTAAACAAAGCTGACGGTTCTTTGAGAGTTTGTGCTGACTATAAAGCCACGGTGAACCCCGCCTTATTAATAGATCGCTATCCGTTACCTAGGATAGAGGACCTTATGGTTAGCCTTGGAGGAGCGCGTTATTTCTCTAAAATAGACCTATCTCAAGCCTACAATCAAATTGAGCTGGATGAGTCCAAGGAAATTACAGTAATCAATACACACAGGGGTCTGTTTAGGTACAATAGGCTAGTATATGGGCTATCGTCAAGTCCGGGAATATTCCAAAGAATAATGTGTAATTTACTAAAAGGTATACCAAATGTAGAAATTTTCCTTGATGACGTAATAATAGGGGGGCGCAATAAAATTGATCACATTGTAGCCTTGGAAGCTGTTTTCAAACGTTTACATACACATGGTCTAAAATTAAAAAGTAGTAAATGCGTATTTTTTGTAAACGAAGTACGCTATTTAGGCTACATCATAAGTAAAGAAGGTATAAGAACAGATCCCTCTAAAATCGAAGCTATTAGGAAAATAAAAAGTCCTACCAACGTTACTGAACTAAGATCTTTTTTAGGTATTATAAATTTCTATGGTAAATTTGTTAAAAATATGAGCTGTAAATTAGTGCCACTATATCAGTTATTAAAAAAGGGGCAACAATGGTATTGGTCAACGGAATGTGAAAAAGTGTTTATAGAAATAAAGAACATATTATCGGGCGCAGAGGTTTTAGCTCACTATGATCCAAAAAAACCGTTAATCGTAACTTGCGACGCGAGCCCGCATGGCGTGGGCGCCGTGCTCAGCCAGTCGGGCAGCGGAGGGCGCGGCGAGCGGCCGGTGGCGTATGCGTCGCGCGCGCTCACGGATGCCGAGAAAAACTATTCACAAATACATAAGGAAGCACTCGCTATTATATTTAGTGTCAATAAGTTTCATCAATACTTATATGGGCGTCGGTTTACCCTTAGAACAGATCATAAACCTTTAGTTTCTATTTTTGGTCCGAATACAGGCATACCAACTATGATAGCTAGTCGCATGCAAAGGTGGGCAATTATTTTATCTGCATATACATTCGACATAGAATACGTACGCACGGATAATAATGGTGCGGACGGGTTCTCTCGCCTGCCTATACATGAGAAGGGGCTAAATAAACAATGCACACCAGAACAAACTTACTTACACTTTGCACAAGAAGCTTTGATGTTAGACTATCACAAAATAAAACGAGAAACTATACGTGACCCATTCCTATCAAAGATATTGAGTTTTATTAGAGACGGCTGGCCACCTCAGTGCGACATTACTAATTTACAGCCGTTCTTTAATAGAAGGAGTGAACTATATGAGGAACTAGGGTGTGTTATGTGGGGACATAGGCTAGTGGTTCCCGAGAAATGTAGGGAAAAAGTATTAACTATGATTCATGAACCCCATATGGGAATTGTAAAATCCAAAGCGTTGACTCGTAGTTATGTTTGGTGGCCCGGGGTGGACGAGGCGGTGGAGCGGCTGTGCCGGGCGTGCGCGGTGTGCGCGGCGCAGGCGGACGCGCCGCCGCGCCAGGCGCCGCGCCTGTGGCGCTGGCCACACAGGCCTTGGACCAGACTACATCTGGATTTTTTGGGTCCGATCGCGGGCATTACATACTTGGTTGTTGTGGACGCCATGTCTAAATGGATTGAGATTTTTAAGGCTAACAGTACTAACGCGACATCACTAATACACAAACTAAGCGAGCTTTTTAGTAGGTGGGGACTTCCAAAACAAATCGTTAGTGACAATGGCCCACAGTTCACAAGTAAGCAATTTGAGGAATTTACAAAATTTTACGGCATAGAACACATTTTTACCGCTCCCTATCATCCAGCATCGAACGGATTAGCTGAAAATGCAGTGCGAACACTTAAGCGTGTTATTAAGAAAGCTATAACAGAAAAAAACAATGTTGACAGAGCTTTATGGTCATTTTTAGCCTATTATAGAAATGTAGAACATTCCACTACAGGTGAAAGCCCCGCCATGCTCTTGCTAGGACGTCGTATTCGAACACGATTAGATATGATTAAACCGGATAGGGAAGAGCAGGTGCGTCGTTCCCAGCAGCGACAGCAGGCTGCCTCGACTGGGGCGAACAGGTCTGTCGAGCAAGGGGAGGATGTATGGTACCGGCAATATTTGAAAGGGGAGAAATGGGTCCCAGGGCGTATTGTTGATGCTATAGGAGCGAGTGACTATAAAGTATTAGGCAAAGATGGTGAAACAGTTCACCGACATATAGATCAATTACAGAAGCGCCCCAGCGGGAGTCGTGCATCACTTATTTCTATACCTATAAATAGTGGCAATAGGTCAAGCATAAACTCTCAAATATCTGACGGCCACGGTAGGGAAGCCACCATTTCGAGAGGACAGTCGGGAGAGTCGGCGGAGCCGATGCCGCCGGACGATGCAGTCGAGCCGATGGGTCAACCCACTACGGAGGAGACCACAACGTCAGCTTCGCCCGCGAAGCAATCGACCTCGCCGCCCGTGTCACCGCCCAAGGCTCGGCCCGTTAGGAAATGTAGATTGAAGCCTCCTATCTATAAATTGTAGTTTTAATGATTTATGTAAAAACTGGCTTTGGCCCGCGACTTCATTCGCGTGAATTTTGGTTTGTCACAGATCGTCATAAACTGTAACCTAAGTAATGTTATTCTGGGTTGTAAACAATAGTGCTGTGGGGTTTCATCAGAATCAGTTCAGTGGTTTTTGCGTGAACATCCCAGCAGGCTTCTCGCATTTATAATACTAGTAGGATAAATTGGTAATGATTGTAATTAGGCTAAGTAAAATAGTCTTTTAGAATTTAAGCGTTAATTAAGCGTGGAGGGATGTAATGTATGTGGGTATCTCATTATATTTTATTATTGTAAGATACTGAGGGTAATCTGTGGCAAGACGATATCGGTCTGTCAGAAATATACGTTGTCATTTACTGGACGTTCTCGGTGTTTGATTGCTCCCGAATATTACAGAAAGCATAGTTATAAATTAGAATTGAAGAAACTAGATAGAATTGTCTATCTAGTCGATGATGCGACTAGATAGACAATTCTATCTGTCTATCTAGTCGCATCAGCTAGTTGAAAATGCACTTGCGGACTGGGGTTGAGCGTTTAACAAAACAAAATTGAAAAATTGCTAAAGGGTTTTGTTATCCAAGTTGGTCCTAGCTGTCAATTTAGTATGCCTAGACGCAAACCACCAACTTTTGGTTGGCAGATAGTTGGCCCCGATTCTAATTTGTATAAAGAATATATCTCCATGCTGATCAACAACTATCTGACCCAACTATCGGCCAACTGAAAATCGGTCAAATATCGCCTTAGACATTGCTTTTGGTCTGACATCTTTTGGTCCGATAACAGAACGTCATCAGGACAAATGCACTTTCACCTCTAATTCCCATCGCTGCAACTTCTGTGTAGCCAGTATCTATTGGTAAAAAAGTTAGCTAAAATTACAAAGATGGTGATATAATGTGTGTGTGATGTTGAGTTTCTGAATAAACTAAATAAATAAATAAATAAATAAACTCACCTGGCAACTCTATACAGCAGCATCCCAACGGGACTTGTAAACGGGCTATCTACGGAATCCGGGCACAGTGACGTCAGATCATACAACTTGACCACGTCATCATGCGGCCCTTTGAACAGCCAATACGTATGCCCTGCCTTCGTCGCATTCGACTTCAAAAACGACAGAATATTCTGCGCTACGTTTCTTATGACTTTCGGCGAGAATTTCGAGTTTTCCATATTGGGTAACTCCTCAGTCTTCATTGGCTCGTATTTCTGGACGATTCCGTCCAAGTGGTAGCACATTAACACTTCAGGTACGTTGCACATCAAGTTGTCTAGCCAATAGTCGATGCCTGTTAACACGTTGATGGGTTCTCGCGCGTCTCGTAGGCGGAGGGACACGCAGGGGCGGTCTTTGTCGCCGAAGATTGGCAGGTCGCTGCCTGGGAATGGGTTAAAGAATATGTTGAATAGCCGCTGTTATAGTGTTAAATTCGCTTTTTTCGTAAATATTCATGCGGGGCGGGAGAAGCCGTGAGACGCCACCTATCAACATCATTAGTAATTAAACGAGGTCCACGCGTACGAAGTCGCGGGCGGTCGCTAGTGTTAAGCGCCTGTGTGGTCTAGTGGTAAGACCACCTGCTTCAGACGCAGAGGTCCCGGGTTCCATTCCCAGTGGGGGCAGATTTTTCTGTTCGGTGTGGTTGGTGGTAGGGCTTGTTCTAAGTCCGCTTGGCTAGCTACCACCATCTTACCTAAGTCTGTCGCCATAACAACAATGTTAACAGCATTGTTGTGTTCCGGCAGTTAGAGGTAAGATAGCCAGTTCCTCCGTAGTTGAGGATTCCGGGTGAAGCTCGCTTCCACCTTCGGCCTGATCATCACTTACCATCAGGTGAGATGCAGGCCAAGAGCTTCCTCGTTGTGGATAAAAAAAACATAAGTTCCTCGCCAACCACAAAAGAAGAAGAATATAAGATTTCACAGCCGAAACGTCTAACTGTTAATACTCATGTACTGCTTAAGCTGAGTTGCACCACCTAACTTGAACCATAACCGATGATCACCACCACCGATGACCGGTGTTTTTTGAATAGAGTTTGACAGATTTTTGACGTTTGTTAAAGTTAAAGTAAGATGGTGCAACGCAGCCTTAGTAAATGGCGCGTTGAGACCCGTTGTTTTATATTTCAAGAATAAGAATTTTCAATATACTGTAGGATTTATGTAAACACCGCCCTTTACCTTAATTAAAAAGTTTATACTTTTGTCTATGAAACTATGTATTCTCTGTGCTTTTCCAGTCCGTGTGGACGTCAGTAAACAGTGTTAAATTCAAAAAATTCCCTCTTTTATTAGTAGATATACTTCCAATATAAAGGGTGGAATTTAGTAATGCCACCTGGAGGAAAAGTACTCTTAATATTGTAGCTAGAAAATTTTACTGAAAGAAAACATTCCTTTATTTAAAAAAAAAAAAAGAAAACTGCTTTCAAGGATTTTCGAAATTTTTTCGATAGTTCACCACCATACCATATTTTTTTTTGTAAATAATTAAAGTAATCTAAGATTTCATGGTTATCCTTTCATTTGATTTATCAAGTTTGTTAGAGATTTCATCTTTATGCATAACCCTAACGATCGATGCAATAAAAATACAGGCTGTGATTTTTAACAGATTTTAGTTGGCTCGATTCCCGGGTTGTGACAAGCAAGTTTTTGGGAAATGTCTGAATGCTCTATTTCTTTTCCAAAATTAAGGAATGTTTCCTTTAAGCAAATTTTTCTATCTACAGTATTAAGAGTACTTTCTCTCTAGGTGGCATTACAAAATTCCACCCTGTATACCCACCTATGAGCATGTGTATGTCCTCGAAGGTCCAGTGCACGTTGCGGTTGTAAAGGTGGTCCGGCGGCGCCTCATCGCGCCCCGGCTCCGGCTCCGGCAGGTACGGGCCTGATAAGATAAGATAAGATGAGATGTTGATAAGATGAGATATTGGTTAGATAAGATAAGATATTGATAAGATAATATATTGATAAGATAAGATATTGATAAGATAAGATGAGATATTGATAAGATAAGATGATATATTGGTAAGATAAGATGCTATATTGATAAGATAAGATGAGATATTGGTAAGATAAGATGAGATATTGATAGGATACGATGCGATATTGGTAAGATAAGATGAGATATTGATAAGATAAAATGTGATATTGATAAGATAGTCGAGGAGGTACGGGTCGAGATGAGATAAAATGTTGATATAATAAGTCCCTTTGTTCTGTTTTTCATTTTTTTCTTTTTGTGTCAAATAAAGTTTTTCTTATTCTTATTCTTAAAATAATTAGGTACTGATCTAGATGAGATAAGATGTTGATAAGATAAGATATTGATGTGTGTGTGTGTTGCCAGTGATTGTATAGGAATCTGAGACGTGCTAAAGGCCTCATAAGAAGGCTCAAGGTCACCCAAACGGCTACGGAGCGGGCTATGCTCAGAGATTCCCTGCGTGATCGAATCAGAAATGAGGAAATCCGCAGGAGAAACGAAGTGACTGATATATCCCGCAGAATCGCTAAAATCAAGTGACAGTGGGCGGGGCACATAGCTCGTAGAGTTGATGGCCGCTGGGGCAGATAAGTTCTCGAGTGGCAACCACGGATCGAAAGACCTAGTGTGGGCAGGCCCCTCACTAGGTGGACTGACGATCTGGTGAAGGTCACTGGAAGAACCTAAATGCGGGCAGCGCAGAACTGGTCGTTATGGAAATCCTTGGGGGAGGCTTTTGTTCAGCATTGGACGTCATTTCGCTGTAACGCCAAGCTCGGGGCCGCTGGTGCCACACCACACCAGTGAGCGCGACGTCACACCTGTCATTTGTTACTCACCAGTGAGCGCGACGTCACGCCTGTCGCTTGTTACTCACCAGTGAGTGCCACCGCCAGTCGGCGGGTCGCTGCGATCTCCCTGCGAGCCACGCGCGAACTCGCAGCGGGCTCGTGCCTATGTACTCACTTGATACAGTATCTGATACATTACACGCTACACGGCTAAAGCCTGTGCTCACGGACCAGGCTTTACACGGCTAGATGAGTACCCTGCTTTACATCTCATCAGTGAGCGCGACGGGCGCGAGGGCGGGCGCCTGGCGACGCTGTGCGTAGGAACTGTGCGTCAGCTGCAGCGAGCTCGGGGCTGGTGCCGCGTGACGTCACGCCTGTCACGTGTCACAGCTCGGGGCTGGTGCCGCGTGACGTCACGCCTGTCACGTGTCACAGCTCGGGGCTGGTGCCGCGTGACGTCACGCCTGTCACGTGTCACAGCTCGGGACTGGTGCCGCGTGACGTCACGCCTGTCGCTTGTTACTCACCAGTGAGCGCGACGTCACACCTGTCGCTTGTTATGTTTTCGCACACTTGTTGCTCGCACACTCACTGCGGGCGCGCGTCGCACAGTCGCGACAGCAATATAATTACGCGCGAGCGATAAGGATGGGTAGCTTGGGGTCATTGGACAAAATTCTACGTGCTCACGGACCGGGCTTTAGATGAGTACCCTGCTTCACAGCTCACCATGCAGTGAGCGCGACGTCACGCCTGTCACTTGTTACTCACCAGTGAGCGCGACGTCACACCTGTCACCTGTCGCTTGTTACTCACCAGTGAGCGCGACGTCACACCTGTCACCTGTCGCTTGTTACTCACCAGTGAGCGCGACGTCACACCTGTCACCTGTCGCTTGTTACTCACCAGTGAGCGCGACGTCACACCTGTCACCTGTCGCTTGTTACTCACCAGTGAGCGCGACGTCACACCTGTCACCTGTCGCTTGTTACTCACCAGTGAGCGCGACGTCACACCTGTCACCTGTCGCTTGTTACTCACCAGTGAGCGCGACGTCACACCTGTCACCTGTCGCTTGTTACTCACCAGTGAGCGCGACGTCACACCTGTCACCTGTCGCTTGTTACTCACCAGTGAGCGCGACGTCACACCTGTCACCTGTCGCTTGTTACTCACCAGTGAGCGCGACGTCACACCTGTCACCTGTCGCTTGTTACTCACCAGTGAGCGCGACGTCACACCTGTCACCTGTCGCTTGTTACTCACCAGTGAGCGCGACGTCACACCTGTCACCTGTCGCTTGTTACTCACCAGTGAGCGCGACGTCACACCTGTCACCTGTCGCTTGTTACTCACCAGTGAGCGCGACGTCACACCTGTCACCTGTCGCTTGTTACTCACCAGTGAGCGCGACGTCACACCTGTCACCTGTCGCTTGTTACTCACCAGTGAGCGCGACGTCACACCTGTCACCTGTCGCTTGTTACTCACCAGTGAGCGCGACGTCACACCTGTCACCTGTCGCTTGTTACTCACCAGTGAGCGCGACGTCACACCTGTCACCTGTCGCTTGTTACTCACCAGTGAGCGCGACGTCACACCTGTCACCTGTCGCTTGTTACTCACCAGTGAGCGCGACGTCACACCTGTCACCTGTCGCTTGTTACTCACCAGTGAGCGCGACGTCACACCTGTCACCTGTCGCTTGTTACTCACCAGTGAGCGCGACGTCACACCTGTCACCTGTCGCTTGTTACTCACCAGTGAGCGCGACGTCACACCTGTCACCTGTCGCTTGTTACTCACCAGTGAGCGCGACGTCACACCTGTCACCTGTCGCTTGTTACTCACCAGTCAGCGCGACGTCACACGCTCCTGTAAACGCTCGCGCGTAATTATGTTGCTGTCAAGCTCGCACACTCACTGCGGGCGCCCGTCGCACAGTTGCGACAGCAACATAATTACGCGCGAGCGATAAGGATGGGTAGCTTGGGGTCATTGGACGGGATTCTACGTGTTCACGGACCGGACTTTAGCCGTGTAGCGTGTAATGTATCAGATACTGTATCAAGTGAGTACATAGGCACGAGCCCGTTGCTCGCTGCTCGCGCGTGTTTCGCAGGGAGATCGCAGCGACCCGCCGACTGGCGGTATCACTGCGAGCACAAAGGCGGCTCGCAGTAGGATCCAGGAGCTCGCAGCCAGATACGCGATGACCGTGGACGAGCCGTACTCACTTGAAGGTTGGATACGTTACATGCTACGTTACGTGCTACGTGCTCACGGACCAGGCTTTACACGGCTAGATGAGTACCCTGCTTTACATCTCACCAGTGAGCGTGACGTCACACCTGTCACCTGTCGCTTGTTACTCACCAGTGAGCGCGACGGGCGCAAGGGCGGGCGCCTGGGCAGGCGGCGGGCGGGAAGCGACACTGTGCGATAGGAACTTGTGCGTCAGCTGCAGCGCCGAACTCGGGGCCACTGGTGCCGCGTGACGTCACGCCTGTCACTTGTTACTCACCAGTGAGCGTGACGTCACACCTGTCGCTTGTTATGTTTTCGCACACTTGTTGCTTGCACACTCACTGCGGGCGCTCGTCGCACAGTCGTGACAGCAATATAATTACGCGCGAGCGATAAGGATGGGTAGCTTGGGGTCATTGGGCAAAATTCTACGTGCTCACGGACCAGGCTTTAGATGAGTACACAGCTCACCAGTGAGGGCTGGTGCCGCGTGACGTCACGCCTGTCACGTGTCACAGCTCGGGGCTGGTGGCGCGTGACGTCACACCTGTCGCTTGTTACTCACCAGTGAGCGCGACGGGCGCAAGGGCGGGCGCCTGGGCGGGCGGCGGGCGGGAGGCGACACTGTGCGATAGGAACTTGTGCGTCAGCTGCAGCGCCGAACTCGGGGCCACTGGTGCCAGCGTTAGCGTCATACGTTCCTAGTGTAAATAAAGAGATTAAAAGATTATCAGACAGCATGAGAAGGCTCACATGGCAGAAGCACATCTGGGCTAAAAGAAAACAACTAGATGGAAAACTTCGTGGTCTTTACTGGTTAATCGGACGAAGCTCGCAACTGAACAGCACCAGCAAGGTCTTGGTATACAAAGCAACTTTGAAACCTATCTGAACTTACGGGATACAGTTATGGGGAACAGCTAGCAAGAGTAACATCGACATACTGGAAAGATTTCAAAGTAAAGCACTTAGAACCATGCTCGGCGTACCCCAATGTATTAGCAACAAGTACATGTATCTTGACCTAGGCATTAACACTGTTCGTGAGGAAATAGTACAGGCAAGCCTGAAATACCAGGAGAAACTGGAAACTCATGCAAACGAACTCGCACAGGCCTTAAGTGGAGAAGGTGGACTACAGTACAATCGACTGAAAACACAAGGCATTCCCAGTTTCGCCCAAAGATTTGTAGACTGAGCCAGGAAGAGAGTTTGCTGGAAAAAGATCAGCAATTGATTGGCTCTCCAAGACAACATAAAACTCAGGAAATGTAGCTCCAGCCAGCCAAACAAGTGGCTTATTGTTTTCGAACAGATTGCCATCGGGCAGATAATACATAAAAAAATAATAAAAAAAAATTTAAAAAAAGATTAAGAGAGCTTTCACATTTAGAGTAGGCGCATACCGTTGATTTTTAGTTGGCCGATAGTTGTGCCCGATTTCAAATTGTCAAATGGCCAAATCGAATCGGCCTAGTGTGCGCACTCCCATACATGCCCATACTGATCAACAGCCCGACTAAACTATCGGCCGACGAAAAATCAACGGTGTGCGCCTACTCTTAAGCTATTTAGCAGCGCGTCAAACGCGCGGTAGACGCGCTGCTGAAAATTTCATACTATATGACAGCGGATGCATGCCTTCACACTATAAAAACGCCGCTGCCTCGCTGCTTAGCGCTTCTAACGCCCTAATGTGAAAGCGCTCTAAGAGCGGTTCGCACTACGTCCTGAAAGTCAAAGCTTTTAAGAGTTACTGCCACTAACCTTCAATGAAATACGAGTATACCGAAACAATTAAACGTAATTTTATTTACTTAAATTTCCCAAGGCTAACACGTTTGCCCGAGCCGGTCAGTGCGCAGTAATAAATAATAATAAATAATCTTTGGACAATTTCACACAGCGCCAGCTAGCCCCAAAGTAAGCAACTTAATGCTTGTGTTATGGGTGCTAGCTTAACGGATATACTACTTATATACTTTTTTTTTAAATACATAAATATTATACATAGTCACACCCAGACCCGTCACAGAAATTAAAATTCATCATTTCAATTTCTGCCCGGCCGGGAATCGAACCCGGGACCTCTCGGCATAGTAGTCCGTTCTGAACCACTACACCAAACGGCCGACTCTTTGATTTATACGTCACACAAGCATTCAAAATCGCTAACATACACCTTTCATACTACACGTGTCCCTACACAGTATTTAGGACCTTTCCAGGGCGCTTATGCACGTCCCAAATATGGCTTACCCTAGTACCATCACTTCGGAACAACATATGGGCCTGTGCTAACATATAAAAAATACCCTTATGTCCAAAGGGTACTACAAGGTTCGAGACTATATTGATGACAAGGATGCGTGGTCAGTTCAGTCTGCACATATTTGATGTACTTAAATTTGACTATTCTTACCGTTAGATAATTCCTGGCAATAAGTGGTGACTGAGTTTGTTCCGGCGTTTCTTCTCAGCACTTGCCATATGTTTGTCTCGAAGCGCTGGTAGGGCCCAAAAGATAAGGAGACATGTAAAGTGCCCCATAAGGGCTACCTTTTAAAAATCCAAATGAAACTCACTCAGTTTATTCCACGAACTTGTACAGGTCCAAGATACGTCCGATCGGTCCGGCGGCTCGAGCAAAAGTGAGCTCCGTCCCGACTAGCGGCCGCTCTGTGACGCAAGTGACNAACGGATATACTACTTATATACTTTTTTTTTAAATACATAAATATTATACATAGTCACACCCAGACCCGTCACAGAAATTAAAATTCATCATTTCAATTTCTGCCCGGCCGGGAATCGAACCCGGGACCTCTCGGCATAGTAGTCCGTTCTGAACCACTACACCAAACGGCCGACTCTTTGATTTATACGTCACACAAGCATTCAAAATCGCTAACATACACCTTTCATACTACACGTGTCCCTACACAGTATTTAGGACCTTTCCAGGGCGCTTATGCACGTCCCAAATATGGCTTACCCTAGTACCATCACTTCGGAACAACATATGGGCCTGTGCTAACATATAAAAAATACCCTTATGTCCAAAGGGTACTACAAGGTTCGAGACTATATTGATGACAAGGATGCGTGGTCAGTTCAGTCTGCACATATTTGATGTACTTAAATTTGACTATTCTTACCGTTAGATAATTCCTGGCAATAAGTGGTGACTGAGTTTGTTCCGGCGTTTCTTCTCAGCACTTGCCATATGTTTGTCTCGAAGCGCTGGTAGGGCCCAAAAGATAAGGAGACATGTAAAGTGCCCCATAAGGGCTACCTTTTCTTTTTTTTTATTATTATTTTCTATTGACGTTCATAAGTGCCACTTGTGGTCTAAACTGAATAAATATTTTTTGATTTGATTTTGATTTGATTGATTTGCTGATGGCGGAAGAAACTCAGATGATATGAACTACATCGTACACAATAGGCTAATTCGTGGCGCTTCTTCTTAGAAATGTTTGTATGGAAGCTCTAGTAAGACAAACAGATTATTGTGAGACGTTTTAATGTAAAGATGCCTTAAGGACAGCCCTTACGTATATTTTATTAGTCTATAAACAAATTGAGACTGCCCTTAACTTTTGTTAGGGAAAGCTGCAAAAACCATCAGCTATTTATCCTTTAAAGAAAATTAGCGAACACATGCCACATCATCATCAAATATAACTCACCTGTTCCGACATGGTCTTCAAGACGTTCTCGTAGAAGAAGTCCTTGAGCCACGACCACTCCGACTTCATGAGGTAGTCGTACACGTCGAAATCGTCCAACAGTAAAGTGTTCTCGATGCGGTGCACGATCATGCTTACCTGAAGAGAAGATAACTTTTAAAAAAAACCGACTTCAAATGCGTGAATTATTAAATTTAAATGGGACCACCCTTGAGGTATTACCTATACGCCGAAAAAAGATTTGTTCAAATCGGTTCATAATTGGCGGAGTTATCGCGTAACAAACATAGAAAAAAAACATACGGGTCGAATTGAGAACCTCCTCCTTTTTTTGAAGTCGGTTGAAAATATAAATTCATTTAACTTACTTTTCATTTATATCAAGAGTGATAGGCGGTATTTATACTGTTTATGTTCATCATAATAATGTAGGATTCTAATGGTAAAGAATTTTTCAATTCAGCCAAATTTTCAGGGCTTGTGTATCAACTACTCAATAGCAGCACTTTGAGCAAAATGTGGGATTACTCCCGTGAATAGATAGTTAGCTGTCTATTACATCCTTTTGTTTGACTGTCACTATCACCTGTCATCTGCACTAGAAGCAGAAGATCTATAACTTCTGATTTATTAAAATAAGGGGCTTAAGACATTTCAACTTACTCCTAGCTAAAAAAACTTGGCCTTCAACGGTTAGATTCAAGCTGTAGACACTGGCTTCAAAAGAGCTCCAGCGGTGGAAACGAGATAATAATGGACCCGTAAATTCATATTTGACTGATATTGACGCATTCTTCTTTAAACCGAAATAAGGATATCTACAACAACTCACAGTGCCGTTGGGCTGGTAGGGCAGCTTGAGCAGCTTCTTGATGCACTCGGCGCCCGAGATCACGTCCACCTCGCCCACGCAGTCCGGGAACATATGCGCCATCCTGAAACTAAACGCGAAACCAGAGTAAATACAAAGGAGTAGGTCATCTTCATAGAAACGCACCGAGCGCGGTTTGTATGTGGGCGCGCCAACACGTATGCGGCGCGCACGCACACACTGACAAAATTCGGCGCAACCACGACTAGCTCCCCGCTAATCCCCGCTAAATTTTGTCAGTGTATGCGCCGCATACGTGTTGGTGCGCTCACATACAAACCGGGCCCGTGCGTTTCTATGAAGACGACCTACTCATTTGTATTTACTCTGGCAAAACGTACCGTTGAACACTAGTTTACGTAAATTGATACTAATGTCCGGTCGCCGAGCAGATAGAATTTCGTCCAATGACCCCAAGCTACTCATACTTATCGCTCGCGCGTCGCTGTCGGCGGGAGACCGCAGTAAGTGTGCGAGCGCGACAGTAATAAAACGCGCGAGCGATAAGGATGGGTAGCTTGGGGTCATTGGACGAAATTCTATCTGCTCGGCGACTGGACTTTAATTTATCTAGGAGGGTAAACCAGGAAGCCTGCTCTGCCCCGAGAGACAGCTAAGAGGGGCGCCAAAAAGAAAGAAGAGGTTGCTTGGTAAAAAAAATTGTCCTACAAAGTACGAGTTATTCTATTAATTTGACGATTTATAAGCACTATTTTTAATAGTCCATGCAAATAAAGGAATTTTGACTTAGACTTGACTTTGTTAATTTGAAATGCCCAGTTGGTTTTTGATTTGAATATTACTTGTACATAATGTTCTTGTGACGTTCATTTATTTGAAATACTAATATGTACACAGTTGCGATAGAATATCAACCGATTGTGTGAAGAAACTTTCTTGATACCTTTTTATTTTAGCTTTATATGTTTTGTAGAGTATTTTATTTTACAAATTAATTGAATCCTTTATCTTTACATTTCTTGCAATACCGCAGTCTAGAAAAAAACTCTAGAAAAAAGTTCTTATTTTATCTTATACATACACACATAAACACCTTGAGAATCACTCAGTGTGAAAATAATTAATTTTGAATTGTTTTAACAAGCAATACTTTTCTATTTTGTAAATAACATAATGTATATTTATTACAAGTAATTTTTTAAATTTTAGTTTTTAAATAATTTTAAGTTTTTACGTTCCTTGTGTTTAACTTAGTTTACTTTATCCTAATAAATAATTTACCATTTAACAGGTGAACTTTCTTTACCTAGATAGCCCAGTGTTTCCAGTCAATATCTGCTTCAAGCCGTAGGAGTCGATGGCTGCCCCCCAGTTGGAAGGGGGTAGATTCAGGTCGGTGTTGCACTGCAGCCGCGCATAGCCCACGGGGCTTTGAAACGCTGTGTACTTAACCACCGCAGTCGATTTGACGCCAGGGGACGGACTCCGATCCTGTGAAGGCAGTTAAATGTAGAATATAGATTTTGTAGTATATCCTGTACAGAATGGAAGGGACCAAAGGGGAAGAGGAGTGTTGGGAAGCCCAAGGAAAGGATGCCATAATGAAAACAGCGGGAAACAATTGCCTTGATCGAACTCAGGACAGGTTAAAGTGGAGCAAGATGGAGGAGGCTTTTGTCCATCCAGGGTACCACAAGAATTAGCAAAACAAATATTTTTAATGAATTTATTTATTGCAACCAAAACTGTTTTGTGGAAATAAAAGCTTTTTGTTTATTATTATTGTAGTATGTCCTAGTGTCTCAGAAGATTAGCAGTTAATGCAGTGAAGGCAGCAGTGAGTGTCACTTAATGTTTTAAGACAGACAACTCTATGAATTTATTTTTATGGGGATTGTGGGTACAAGACAGAATAGTATTTATAGATGTTTAAACTTTGCTAGTACATGGGTTAAAAATACTGAGGTTATTCAATAAAACTACATTACAAAAACAACATGTGTCAGTCTTGTTCAAAGAAAGTAAGACTTATAGTAAGACAAGTTTGGAAATACAGTAAGTATTCAGTCGATTTGTGGATTTTTATTTAAATGCGTAATTTTTTCTAAATAAAAACTTGAGAAATGTAAGAAACTATTTTTTTACCTTGGAGCGTTTGAAATCATTTTCATTGTCCTTTTCTATTTCTTCCATTTTAGATCAATTTTATTCCAGCAGCCAGTTAGTAAGGTTACGTTATGCAATAGGAATCTTAATTTTAAGATCAGAATAACGTGGGATTGTTTGAGTAATATTTTTCTCAAATCGAGCGCAAGTTCTTAGTAAATCAAATATTTTCTAAGCCGGATGACAACCGTAAAGGTTAATTTATAATTTACATAGCACTTATTTCAACAGAATAAAGTTGATAATCGTGAAATTACCACTCTACGAAACAAATGCGGTGAAACTTCGCGAAACATGGGCTGTCAATGTCACGATTTGTTCTAAAAAAGCAAAACCTGGCAAAGAAAATCTTAACTATATATTCTAATTAGTGAATTTTTGTCTATGATACGAATTTTTAGTCTATGGAATGACGCGATACGACGCCGGCCGGTCGCCATTTTCTATTGGTGATTGACGTTTGAGAAAGTCGGTCGTATTTTCTGAATTTGTGTTCGTGTAGCGGGAAATCACAACAAGAAAGTGTTTAGATCGCCTTTCTATTGCTTCTTCATCAACTGCTGGTGAGTACATGTTATAAATTAACATCTAAGTAATCCGGATATCGATTTTTCCCTGTACCATTACTTCGACAAGTATTGATTTTCTTTTCTACCTTGTCGACGCATAAAAATAATCTAAATTGGTGTGAAACCTACAGAAGTACTGCAATTAAACGTGAATAATCCAGTTATTCAACAAGTAAGAGTATATTCCCTGCGTAATTATCACTGAGCTATCACTTCATACAAAGTAAATTTTCAAACGAAAAATACCATGTTTTATGTACCTCCTCCTTTTGAATATTACATAGAAATGGTGTTTTACAAAATAAAACATTTATAGCTATTTGATTTACCAAAATAAAAACATTGTTTTTTGATTTAGCATGATGAATGTTTAATTTGTTTTTCAGTTTAAAATGGCAAACCGAAGACCGCAGCAAGGCCGTCGCATAGATTACGGTCGCAACGACCGTAACAAGAACTTCGGACGCAGTGGAGTCTCCCCGTGGCAGGGCGCTGGCCCTGGCGGAGGGATGCCCAACCTCCTTCCCCTCGGAGGGGGCTCCACCGAAGCAACACTTGCACTCGCAAGCAACATCATCAACTTGCTCCAGCCTCGGCAAAACCCTGTGCCGTCTCTTCTCGATATGCCCATAAGAAGGGACTTCGGTCCTAATATGGGTCGGTATGATCGTGGTTATGTGCCGAATAGGGTAAGTCAATTTATGTTAATTTTAGAACATAAGAAAATATTTGATAAATAAAACTAGAATGTTACATGTTTAAAAATCTTGAATTCATTAGTAATTAGCTATAATTAATGTGAATTTTGAAATCTTAATGAGCTATATTTAACATTAATGAGTTCTAATGCTCTTGCATTGTAATGTATTTTGTAACCCACTGAGGGTAAGATTTCAAATATTCGAAATTGAAGATTTGTTTTAATTATACCGTTTAATATTTTGTAATTTTCAGTGCATGTTTTCTTTCAAGTTATGGAGACTTTCCATTTGGCATGCGTAACTGCTTACGCATGTCAAACTCTTCAGGTTTCCAAACCGATAGACTCCGCTTCGCTTGGCTTTGGCCAAATGTTTCGTACTAACACTGTATTCTGGTACCTTCCCTTTAGATGGGCAATCAGGGTAATTTCCGGCGTACGGGCAATTACAATCGCGCTGGTGAGCGTATCAACACCAATCGTAAACCATTCAGGCCCAATGATGGGCAAAGGCAACAAAACAAGAGTTCCCCGAAAAAGGACGCCGATTCTAAGGCTAAACCTAAAGAGAGGTAAGGAACCCTGTGCTGATTGTTTCCTTCCGGTGGTGACACCGCGTTTCAACGGCCATTTGGTGGCCACACCCTGTACATTATTTCTGTTTTACACTTAGTCGTTTACGTTCACCGGCCTATTAAGTTTATTTAGCCAAATTGGCATAACATTCGCCTGTGGGAGGTGCAAAAAGAATCGTTTTAAAAATGCTTCGTTCTTCACTGCAGACATTTAATCTGCATTAAAAGATTGTATGTAAGCAATGAACACATGGAGACAAATTTTATTTACTTCCCAAAATAATATTTTCAAGCTTTTATTTCCAAGAGATTTATCATCAATGGTAAATTTTTGTAATGGATGGACCTGTCAATTCAAGGACAAGTATTGTTTCATGTTTAAATGCATTGTGCATATTTTGTATTTTACCAACATTTATAAACAAACACTACTCAACAAGTTCATTGTTTCTATTACACATTACTGAATAAACATTTCAAATCTGTTACCAAATTCCAATGTAACTTTTTTTGTGCTCAAAGCACTATCAACAAGATTCTCAATCTTCAAACAGTATTATCATACTGCCATCCGACTATTAACAAAAAACACAGCTGCAAAACAACACCACATCATCTAATTCCCAAGTATATCACAGCGATCAAGATGACAAGACGGAAGAGACCTCTGACGGAGATAAGGTAGAAGAAACTAAGAAGGAGGGACCGAAGACTCGCTACGATGACATCAGTCCGCAACTGCTGAAGTGTCATATCTGCAACAAGAGCATGTGGGACGGAAGGTCGTTCGAGAATCATCTGAGCGGTCGCGCACACGCTATCATGATGCAGAAGACAGCCGAGAGCTATGCGCTGACTGCGGATACTATGCGGCAGGAGTTCAAGGTAATTTGACTTATTACTTAAACCTAAAGAGCTAATTCCAATTTACTAAAAGTTAATACAACACTAATCGTGAGGCGTCGGCAAGTCTGAGAATGTTACGTTTATGAGAGCCAGATATTAAAGATTACTATTCTTCATTTCTTTTTTTACTGCTCAATCAACATTCTGTATAATGTAACATTTGAGACTAGCTAGTCACTAGTCTTAAAACCATTCATTACTTTCATCAAGGTTACAGCTTCCTACAAAGAAGAGAAAAGTTGATATCCTTGTCTCTTATTGTCATACTCAATTTAAGGTTTAAGGTTTAAAGATTCTTTATTTCTCAATAAAAACATAATTGTCACTTACTTGAGAACAAAATTAAACTAAGTATAATTTACATTTGAATCGTTCGCACCGATATGTTTTATAAAAAGCATTGGCTTTAGCAAATTATACCATCTGATTGGCGATAAAAAGTAAATCAGTATAATATAGGTTCAAAACAAAATTAAATATAATTTTCTAAATTGTAACTATTAGTTTTAAAAATAAAAAATAAAAAATAAAATAAAATTCATTTATTTCAGGCCAGGGCCCATAAAATTTCAATAATAATAATAATTGCATTAAATAATTAAAATCAAATTAAAATCAAATTAAAATCAAATTAAAATCAAATTAAAATCAAATTAAATCAATAAAAATAATAATAATAGAGACAAATAAATTAAATTAAAAATTAAATTAAATTAAAAAATTAAATTGAAAATTAAATTAAACATTAAAATAATAAATAAAATTACAATCTAGATTTAATTCAAATACCTGCCTCCCTGTGGGACACCCGGCACCTGCACTTGAGTTTGCACCCAGTGTCGCACAAGGGGGCAGTCTGAGAGTCAGTTTTAGACATTAAATTTAATAAGTAAGGCTCATTCTACAACGTCATGAATATGTAGGGCAAGTTTCTTTTTAAAAATATTTAGGGAGTCAATGCTTTTTATTGATGCGGGTAGTTTATTAAACAACTGTGCTCCCTCAAAGTTAAGCATTCGCTTGCCGTAATTTGTGCGTATCTTGGGTAGAACCAAATAGCTAGCGCGACGGCGCGTGCGCTTCGGAACCTGTTCTGACCGCGTCATCAGAGTGAGCGACGTATGGATGGTTTTATTCAATACGTTGCGTATGAGCAGGCAGGTATAATACATAAATAATTTTTTAATGTTCATAATTTGTGTTTCGCTATAAATCTTGGAAGTGGATGTGAGGTACGGATAATGAAATAATAATTTAATGATTTTATTTTGTAAGACTTGGAGTTCGGATATTTTTGTTTTTGAAGCACTACCCCAGATTTCAACAAGGTATATTAGGTGGGATTTTACAAGTGAGTTGTATATATTGTATCTTGNTGTTATGATTAAAAAAACAAAACAATTAGCAAAAAAAAAATAAGAATATTAATTCGTAGCTAATCCGAATCTGAGTCTTCAATAGGGTTTTCAAGATCAGAATCCATCACACCCAGAGCTTCAACATCAATGAATTCGACGTTTTTGTTACTACTATCCTCAGATTCATTTTGAGGATTTAAAAGAAGTAGATGTTTCATATCTTCTGTTAAAACTTTTTTACTTGTTTGTCTCAATTTTGGCCTTATAGACGATAAATAAGGATCAGATGATATTATTAAATAATTTAAAATGTCTTCGTTTGTGTTTACTCTGTTAAATTTTCGGGCATGTTGTAGTCGGCACCTTTTAAAATCTTTATTTCGGGCTTCAGAGGCCTCTTCTGAAAGATTTCCTATCGGTATCGAGTTAAAATGCCTAACAATTTCTGCGCCATGGATCAAAAGTTTGTGCACACTGGATGGCATGTAATACCAGCCATACAATGTCACAAACAGCTCAGCAGTTTCCTTTGTATACTGAGCGAAGTTGTCTATATGAACAGACTCACCGCAGGATATTACTCGCAAAATTACTGAAAACCTTTTTATAAGATCAACGTCGATTCCTGTGCACTCTGCAGTCTTAGCTGCATCTTTAAAAAAGCGCCGAGCAGTATTGCCATCGTTAGTCGTTCCACTAGTTTGCTTTACTACGTCCACCAAAATATCTAATTCGTCTCTGAGGTTTTTTTGAACAGCAGTTTTTCTAGCTTTTAAGGCTGCTTGATTGACAGGATCTCTGGCTTGCCACTTCTTAAAATCCAAGCGATATGAAACATGGAGAAGGCATTCCATGCACCGAATCCAAGCATGTAACGATGACAAGCCGAATTTGTAGATATCTGACGCAATAGGTTTTCTGAAAATAAGACTTATATTAATGTAAAGTTCAAACAAAACTTGATTGCGTGAAATCCTAATAAACAAATACTTACTTCGATATTAACTCCAATTTGTTCATCTCGGATGGTACTGCTCTACAGATATCACAAGTCTGATTTGACGTGTCTGACAATATAGAAGTTATCTTTCCATCTATCATTGTCATCAGCATTTTGTGCTTTACCACTGTATTATTTCCCATGGGAGATGGTGTCAGGTTAGTTATTTCATCCTCTATTCTTGCCATCTCTTCTTTTATGTTTAATTTATTTTCATTGGCAAACTTAAAAAAAATTGGTCTGCAGTACATAGTGGATGATGCCTTTGGATTCTCCCATACAGTTATCTCACCATCACTTAACTTCAACGGCACAAAAGAACACATAAAAATGCTGGAATCGTCTTCCCCGTCAGCCAAAGATTGTTTGTACAGGCTTTGTCCCGAGGCTCCATCAAATCCCCATTTACATAGTAATGTTAATTCCCTGTCAGCTAAGTCAGTATCAACCACTTTGGCCAGCCGAGACACTGTCACGTCTAAGATTGCTTGTAGTTTTACTTTGACTTGAAACTGGTCGATACTAACAGAATCTTTTGGTGGGTAGCATGCCTTCTTAGCGTTCACTATGCAATCGTATGATGGATAGATATTCAGTCCTTCTTCTATTGCACATATTCTCAAAGTTTGATATTGCCATTTTGTTAACTTTAATGAAATAAACAAACCCAATGCTTTATCATCAGAGTACTTGAGAGCTTTTTTCTTTTGGATTACTGTCTTCAGATTTGCTGCTTCTTCTGGGTGTTTTGTGAGAAAGTTAATAATATCTGCTATATCACTGTTACCACTTTCACGACCCTTAAAGGCTGTGGCGTACATAAGACTATCAAAGTCATGAGTGCGTAGTTCTTCAGTTCTTCGCTTCTTTTGAATGGGACTCAAATCACTGAACGGTTTTCTAGGAGAAAGTTTTATAGTAGAAGTACCCATTGAACTTGTAGCTTGAACTGAAACCTGAACATCAGCAAAACGAGATGTAGAAGGTCTATTGTCAGTATCCATGTTTGTGGAATCTGAAGTCAGTTTGTTCTGAATACTATTAGGCCAAGAAATGTCAGACTGTAACCAGCTTTCATATTTTTTTATAAATGTAAAGTTCGTACGATTACATGATTTCCATTTTTTCTGCAAATTACATAAATATGTTTGACAAAACTGCTTCAATTCTTTTTGTTCGTTTTCTAACAAGTCTTCTGATAAAACTGACACAAACTTTTCAAATAGCACATGAGGTGTAGTAAAGCACTGATTATTTTTAACAAACAAAAACAAGTCCAAATTAGTCACAAAACCCTCCATTATCAAAGTATTTAACGTAAATCAAAATATTATGTAAACACGCAAGTTACTGGATCAATAGTGATTACTTATTAAGAGATACCCACATTTTTACTTACAATTTCAACTAATAACATCTACCCTCGTTATACTGTGTAACTTACCCTCAGAAATCGTGATATAATTGGGGACAGGAATAGGAAAAATACCCAACCCAAATTTTGAAATTTTGACATAATATAGCAGCCAAAGCGGCAAGTCGCGGTACGTATGCTGTAGGTCATAGGAAGCGCCTTGGTAGCCGCCATACATAGTATAAATTACAGCTTTACAGTTTCAAATAGTAGCGAGAAAAAAGACATAACGTAATTTCCTCCATACAAAAAAAAATTCAACATTTTTTTTCTCACTTGTTTGACCTAATGTGTTACTACCATCATTGAATATGGCCAAACAAAGTTAGTTAAAGTCATCTTACATAATTTATTTAATTAAAAACGGACTTTGGTTTCTACGAGTATGAAACGTGATTTTCCGTCCACTGTGCGCGGTGNATCAACATTTTTTTTCTCACTTGTTTGACCTAATGTGTTACTACCATCATTGAATATGGCCAAACAAAGTTAGTTAAAGTCATCTTACATAATGTAAACTACAAGCAAAACATCTTGGATTCACTACAAGTGCGGACTCCCCGGTCTTTATATCGGAGCAGCTGACTGCTAAGGGTGCTCGGCTGTTCTTCCTTTCTCGAGACCTCGTCAGATCAAACAAGTTTAAGTACTGCTGGACTGCTTTTGGAAGAGTTCTGGTGAGGAAAGACGATCAATCCAAAATTATCTGTATTCAGCATGAGGCCCAGGTAAACCAGCTCCTGCAAGAAACCTGACTATATTTAGCGATTTCGCCTTTTACATATTTTACATACTACTGCAACTGCATGTATTATTTTGAAACTTTTCGTAATATATTACTCATAAATACTAAAACTATTGTAAGCTCGTTTTACATACTTTCACTCACACTACACATCACTATTACTATTTACAAACCCCAACTCTCATACATATTCATAACCACATACACCCACCTCACACTCACACAAACACTAAAAATACTTACTCTGAAAAAATCATGCACACAGTATAACTTAGCTTATTTACTCGTGGACACAGATTGGAAACTGTCTCTTAAAATACTAATCTATTTTACATCTATGAACAACTCCAGTAATGTCCTATGTCTTGAATATTTATTGTATGGATAGTCAACGCCATGCCTCTCAAGAATTAGACAGCATGCAAATATCTCATTCTGTTAGCTGCAATATGAAAGATCTGACTAGCCACT